CAAGTTGTAGAAAGATGAAGAATTACTATGGTTAATAATGAAATGTTGTTTGAAATGTTGCTATGTCAATATATTCTAACTAATATTAATCAATAAACACAATGACAACAGGATATTCTTTCCTATTATTTTCCTTTCTACCTGGTCAGAATGAATAACACTTTATCTAGATATCAAATAGACTTGTAGTCACAATAGAACTATATCAGTACTTATATCTCATCTTATCTTAAGGTGCAGCATTTTAATGCAAGCTATGCATTTCTTTTATATTTCAGGCTGTAATGATCTACTTTAATTTCAAATTATGGCAAAAATTATTAATCCTTTCTTATCAATGTCAAAAGCAAAGGTTAAAGCTTTTAATTTTAAGTTTTACTCAATTGGTTGGTTGGCAGATGACAAGTTAGCACCGCTTACAGACTAGGTAGTTGTTGGTAGTCTTAGTAGGTGGATCAGGATCAACTGGATGACATTTGTGAGTGGGTCGGAAGTCATCTGGTGCCAAAAAGGTGCCAATACATATTCCTGTTAGTTTAAGACAACCTCCATATATATGTCAGATGAACAAGCTGATGCAGGAGTGTGAAAAAGTGTCAATCAACATTTCTCCAGAACAGCTGATGCAAAATCTAAATAATCTTTAGTTTACCAATTTCCTCAAAAGCAAGAAAACAAAATTATTTCCAAAATAGGCATAGCCCCAGGGCATTTCATAATTGCATAGCCCAATTTTCTTTCCCAACAAAGAGACCATTTAACGTATTTTATACCTTATAGTATATCGCTTCAATGAAATTTGATGCTATATACCTTATTCTTATTCAAATTCAACACCATAATTGTTCGAAATATTTAAGGTTTTACTCTAATAAATTTCAATAATAAAAAATTTCAGTGAATAGCTTGTCAAAATAATATATCAGATATGACATTGAAAACCCATTTTAAAAGAAAAATTTCTTATAGATTTTTTCTTTAAAAAAAGAAGGGAAATAAAAACACAACATCAATAAGAAAAAGTCCAAAAGCAAAGACTCAGAGAGACTTAATTTTTTGTTTACTTTATTTGCAGGAAACTGCTCTGTTGCAAAAAAAAAATGAACAAATTTAAATAATGGTGCATTAACATGTAGTACCGAAGCTCCTTGATTCCAAATCTTTTTGACTCATGGTACATCTTTTCTATGTTTAAAAGCCCCTAGTGCCCGTTTGCTAAGCAAAAGAGGTGAATATCCTAAAGTCTACAAATGGCTTACTCCAATTTTATTACAAAGCACTTGTAAACTACAATTTAAATTGTCCAGGAGACCCTAAAATACACCCTGTGGTGTGCACTAGAACAAACAACAGTAAACCGACATCCACCACCCTCCAAAGTAAGACTTGCTTGCGGACATTTGCAGGTGAACCACACTGTCCCCAAGGTCATTCTTCAGCCTTGTAGATCTAATCTGTTGATTTAAAGCCCCCAAAAATCTAAATTTAGCTTACTATAATTAAGAAAAACTTGTTTTGTTCTGCTATTTTCTGTCTCAAATGTGAGAGCTCAGATGGTTCATAAAGTTGGGGGGAAAAACTTTACAATATCATGAGGTCACTATTGTACAAATCATTTGACTTACTTATAAATGCCATTGTATTGTCATAATTTTTGGTATTAACAGGAATTTGCAATGATCCCAATAGAAGCTATAAATGTCTTCAATAATAAATTCAAAGGCATGAAAACCTTTCATACAAAATTTACAAAAGAAACAGAAATAAACAACAGAAAAATATATTTTATTTCCCATTTAAGACTTCGATCAAACACAAAAAGGCTAAAATCAAGCTTTCAATTGAATATTTGAAAATATAAATTTTGAAATGTAAATGTCAAAAGTAGTGTGAGGTGTATATGTCATAAAGTAAGGTGAATGTTTAATGGCTTTCAAACCTGAATAATTCATAATTAACTGACAAGAATAGCAATCAAGAACAAATAAATAACCTTGATAAAATGTCTTAATATTATATACATATTGGCAAGTCTACCTCATAAACCATTCTTACATAACAATCTATAGATCTATTATGTCAATTCTTCAACTGTCAGATTTACTAGGCTCTCTCAATTATGTGTTAATTATGTTAATTGGTGTGGTGGGAGACTGGGCAGATTAAAAGTATGCATGGCTTTGTTATTGACCATGCACCGTGACCTTTTGGTGAAGAGTAATCTATTCAAGAATATCACTGGGGCCACATTTGCAATGAAGATAAAAGGAAAACAAATCAATGTTAGGTTTTATTCAAGATAACACTAAAGCCAGTGTTTAGATAAGAGTTAATGTTTAGTGTTAAGATTTGAATAGTGTTATTCAAGTCATATTCACTGTTTGAAGTCACCACCTGTTCAACACATTTTTCAATTGTTATGCAATCTTAATAAGATATCAGTACAAATTACTATTTATACATTTTATATTATACAGATTAGCTACACTAAAACTTTTATATCTATAAGCTTTAAAATTTCATTAATTTATGCAGTTAATTTCAAAATTTGCATTAGGAATATTTAAACACATTTCAAAAAATCATTTAAAATTTAAGAATTGGCATAATAATTTTAAATTTAAGAATTGGCATAATAATTTTAAATTTAAGAATTTGCATAATGATTTTTAATTATGCATATTTGCCGAAAAGGCAAAATAATTTTTTAATTTCAATTTTGCAAAAATGAATTAATAAGAGTCTGCATCTAAACTCTAAGAAATTGTATCATCAATTTTAAGAATTTACGTCATCAATTTTAAGAATTTACGTCATCAATTTTAAGAATTTGCATCATCAATTTTAAGAATTTACGTCATCAATTTTAAGAATTTGCATCATCAATTTAAAGATTTTAATAATTTTTTGCATAATCCAAATATCATGATATTCGAGAATATTAAAGACTTAATCAAAAACAGCGTGAAATTTTAATTACACAAATTGTAATTATCCATTCAAATTCAATCTTTTGTTTCCAAACTTAAATCCTGCATGAATCAAAATACTAACACAATTATTTATATTTAAGTCAAATAAGTGAATGGACATATTTTAAAAGAATTACCCTCTTCTTATAAAAAATATCAAATGTTAACAATGTCATTTATTTAAAACATAAAAAAAAAGAAGGAAATATTTAAAATATTTGATGTACTACATAACCGATAATACCTAGTCCACTAGTCAATTATAATATATACTACAAGCTCACTAAATAGAAAAAAAACTCTCTTTATTTGCCATGGAGCATCAGAACATCTGTCTTTATATTTGTTTAATGTGAAACTTCAATGATGACCTATATTATAGTAACAGAGCCTCTCAGTATAGCTTTGAGAAAACCAATAAAATATCTAATTGCATACACTCCCCTTCAAATTATATTTCATATTTTACTAGCCCTACATTTCCACTACTCTCAAACCAAACTAATCAATGTTTCCTTTTCTACTGAACTTGCTAATAACAATTATCTGTATTTCATCCTTTAATTGCATAGCAACGACCTTATTATGCAGCTGCTTGAAGCAGTGCTGATAATTGAATACTGCCATAAAAACATCAAGAGATACTTGCAGGGGATTGGCTGGCTCCAGTCATGTGACTGGATTTATCAGGTTAATGCATGCCAAACTAGTCATATTCACTCAAATCTGAGATGCATTTAATAGAAGGCAAGCTGGCTTTGTTAGGTTGGCACCTACTTAGTGAGTAGTTAACACTAAAGGATTAGTTTTATAGTCAAGTGATTAGTGAACCAACAGACAGTTAGTGAGAGAATACTGGTATTGGATACAACAGCTCTATGAGTGATTCAGATGTTGTTGCATAAAGGATTTGAGACTACCTAGTAGAAGAAAGAAGAAAAGAATAGAAGAGCCTGGTGTATAGTAGTAGTGGAGTGTATGTTAGCTAGCAGACTCATCTGTTTCATATTATATGGCTGACCATTCTGACTATATTATCATCAAGTGTATTTAGTGTACAGTGCTATTAGCAGTGAAATAGTGTATGTGACTTTTAAGTCAACAAGAAAAAGGAGAAAAAGCCAGTAAACATGTAATAACTGTTAGATAAAGAGAAAAGAGTGAAATGTTGAACTGTAAGTCAAGGCTATTATTGTAGTGTAGTTATTTTTTTAACTCACTGTTTTAATGTGGGTTATTGACTATAGACCAACTCTTATGGATGCTAACTGTTATTCTTGTTAAACAGTCATCAGTGTATTTGAAGCTAGGAAAGACTGACTCTGATTTGTTGATATTGATATCAAATGAAACCAGTGAAGCAGAAGTCAATTATCTAATGGATTCTTTCTCCATCTTGTTTTTATAGAATTTAACATAAATGGATACAATGGTTAGAGTATAGTGAACACAAATTATTAAATGGTGACTTGAATTATAACTAGAGCTGTAATGAAGTATATTATATTCATGTGAACTTATTAAATTCAGGGTTTTTTGTGTAAAACATTCAGGTTAAAAACAATATTCACAATTATCTCATTATTGTTGTACTTCTACACATTTTAATCTACAACGTATCTACCTCAAGTGATGATGTCGCGCCGCAAGGATTTAACGTTAGGCGAAAAGTTACAAGTCATCCAAGCCATCGACGAAAAAAAATCGCAAAATATCATCGCTCAAGAATTTGAAGTGTCACAATCGACCATATCGCGTATTGCCAAAAACAGGGAACATATCATTAGTTTATTCAACAAAGTCGGACATGGCCATCGAAAACGAAAGCGCGAGGGAAAGACGATGGAAATTGAAATTGAACTGTTGAAGTGGTACCAAAGTTGCGGTGATGTGCATATAAGTACCCAAATGTTGTTTGATAAATCTAAGGAAATTGCTTTATCTATGGGAAGTTTTGATTTTACACCGACTGCTGGCTGGCTTCAAAGATGGAAGGAACGAAACCGTTTACAAGTGAAGAAGGAAATTATGAACTTTGCTCCAAAATATCCCAGCAAAGAACCCTCATACATAGCTGACGATTCATATTCGGGTGCGTTAATTGAAGAAACATTATTAAAAGTGCTAGAAATATATCAACCAGAGGATATTTTTAACTGTCAAGAAACTGGATTGTATTATAATGCTATGCCTGAGTGCTCCCCAAAGAACTCTAATGGTGACATAAAGATCACTAATGAAACAAATGATGAAACTAGCGAAGGTGAGAAGGCTGAAGGGGAGAGTGGGAAGGCTGAAAGGGAGAGTGAGAAGGCTGAAGGGGAGAGCGAGAAGGCTGGAGGAGAGAGTGAGATGGCTGAAGGGGAGGATAATCATTCGGTCGTTAGTAAAGAGGCAGATAATCAAAATGGTAGTGAGAAGTCAAGTAAAGTTGCTAGTACATATGATCGAATGACACTTCTATTGTGTTGTAATATGGCCGGGTCAGAGAAACTCAGACCATTGATTATTTGTAACAATACAACAGTTAAATTAGAGGATAATGAAGCCCCCGTTATTTACAAGACAAACAATTATGGTCTTATGACAACTGATTTGTTTGCATCCTGGCTTGAAGATCTCGATAAAACCATGGAGAAAGACAAAAGACAAATTTGTATGATTTTAACTGATGTTGATGAACATACTTCCCGTTGTGCGTTAAATAATATCCGCTTGGTATATGTACCTCCTGGAACTACCTCATTCACTCATCCACTCAATCATGGAATCATCCAAAACTTCAAAGCCCTATATCGCCAGCAGACCATCTCCAAAATGCATGTACAGAAATCTGATGATTTGGTCAACTCAACTACAAAACTAGGCGTATTAGATGGTATTTTCATGCTCAGTGAATCATGGGACCAAGTCAAACAATCCACCATACAAAACTGCTTTATGAAAGCCATGATGGGCGCTGCGTCTGTCAATGAATCAAATGAAGTCAACGAGAATGAGGTTGTCAGCCCTCCCCAGAACATGACAAAGGAAGAATTTCATAAATTTGTCAACATCGATGATCATCTACAGTGCTTTGCTACCAGTCGTTCACCACTACTCTCTAAATACCATGTTCCTCATGAGTCTCCATCTGTTGGTGAAATGTTGGCCAATATAGAAAAGAAAGTACAGGCTATGAGTGAGAATGGTAGCAGTCCCCCACGATATCAGTCAACACCTTTACGTCACACTGCCTCACCTATCAACTTAGCCAAAGATAAATCATCCATTGGTATCAATTTATCACACAGTGCCAACTCTAGCCGAAATCAAAGTCCTGTCATGTTCGATGGTGGTGAACATCCAAGAAAGAAGAACAAATTAGACAAACTGGCTCATCGTCTAATGAATGGTGAAGACAAATCCTCTAGTCCTAAAACGCCAAGTACATCAAGTGTAACAAATCATCACTCCAAGTCAATCTCATCCTCATCATCATCTGCATCAACCAAATCAACGCCCAAAATGTTACCCAACATGGCAGCTGCCAATCCATTCATGCAGTTTCAAATGCTAAATATGATGCAACATCAACTCAATCCATTAATGGCCGCCAATACGTTATCACCTGCATTGAATCCGTTTGTTCAGGGAGCTACCCAGAATCCTTCACATCAAGATGCTTTAGTGGCACTTGATACTTTACGTCAGTATTTGGAGTCGCGTAATGATGAGGCTTGTTTGGGAGCATTCAAAGTGTTTGATGCCTTTGTGAGATTCAGCATTATGCGAAATCTGCAACAAAGAATGTAAAGTGCTCATTGAGTTATATTTATGTGAATTGTGCCTATTTTATGTGTAATCGTATTAAGTATATTAAGACTCCCAGCGTGTGAATCGGGTATTAAACATCATTTTCATTGTGTAGGATATCATAAATCCCCATCAAAAAATATAACATTGTGTTGTAAAAGTGCAAAGTAGTGTCCAGACACTCACCAAATTGTAGTGTAAAACCGTCACAAGTATAAATATTTTTGTAAACATATTTTACATATCAGGGTTTTTTTTGGAAAAAAAAATAGTTTTTAAATGTGCCTAATGTTGTAAGATCACAAATTTGAGATATTTCTTTATATTATTAGAAAATAGAGAGTTTATATCTATATATTATATAAATGTTATTGCCAGCACCCTAACTACTTCAAAAAAAATAAAAACAATGTTGTTGCCTACTTAATTGTTTACAAATTTTGTGTCATATATTGTTAACTATATTTTGCTTTTTTTATGTACATATTTTTGTAAGTGTACAGAAATGTTCTCAGGTGCACACTAATTTAACATTCAGGTCAAATTCACGTGTATTTTCGTATAAAAATCATAAACACCAATTTTACAACATCATTACTGGTATATATATTAACTTTTCTCATTATAGCATTGTATATTTTTTTGCTTGATTTTGTTATCCATTTTAAAAATCGTCTATAATCATTAATTATTCAGAGAGCTATCCAGAATTATTTACTAGTTTTATACCAACTTGGACACAACCGTTGCTACTTGATCAATAAATTTCAATCAAATTTCTGTGTTTTTTTTTTAACAAAAGCGTAAGCCAATGTGTAAACAATTCTTTCACGCTTTTTCACCTATTACCTGAAATTCATAGAAAATCAGGAATTGTTTTTACCAATCATTCATTTCTCCAAAATTTTTTTCAAGAAGTAAATAATTGTGGTTAACTCAAAAAAAAAAAAAAAATTAACGACGACTTATTTGTCTAAATTTGAATTGATCATTCAAATGAAAATACCTCGGTGATTTTTTTTCTCTCATTATTTTTAAAATATTTTATTTATTTCATGTCCTTTATAATACCTCAAATATTAGGTCTACCTCAAAATAAAACATTGAACCAATTTTCAGTTATTATATATACATGTACTGATTATATCTCAAGAAAAATAACTACAAGAATTATGTTTGTAATTGTTTGTATTCCAAAGTACAGTGTTTTTTTTATGTGTTTGGTATTTGTCTGTATAATTTAAATTTTGTATCAAAATATGTATTTAATTATATTATGCGTATATTTATTGACATCAAATTTTTAGCCACCCTGTTCCCCTTAGGTATGTCACGAATTGAGTGCTAAACTGACATTTATCACAAACTGTTTCCATTTTTTTCCCAATAGTCACGAAATCAGAATTACAAAATGCAACTGTTGGAAATTCCACATGTCACAAAAAGTGGCGTTGCCGATCAATGTGCATATATTTTAGCCCAACAATAGAATATAATGTAATTTTATATAAGCCCCCCTCTATTATAAAATAGCTTCTCGCAAAGTTATCCAAAAATAACCACTACAGGATTTGTCTATATATTTTAAGAATTCTTGGCCTTTAAAGTTTGTTTATACAATTCAATATGTCATGTGTTATGTCTTATATATATATAAGTTAAGCACTATTATTGTTAGATGTTTAATAGTTGTTGAGAAAAAAAGCACATCATCATACGGTTAGAAGATCCATAAAGTTACCTCCCTTTCTCTCAAGTCCCACACAATCTCTTCGCTCCATCGTATGGACCATTTTTATTTCTTTTTTTTTTGATATCAAAGTATTACTTGAATTATGTTAATTGCTTTTTGTTCTTCAACCTAATTAATCTCTTTGCTAATTATCATTTTAATTATTATATTTTTCTGACTAAAAAATATCTTGCATGTATTACTGATAAGTAAACTATATATTTACAATAAATGTTGCAATCTTGAGTTTTGTTTTGATTGTCCAGTATAAGGGATCATGACTAGCTTGAAACCTTGATACCAATAGAAATCCAAAAATATTCCCCAACTGTTCCACCAGACATTGCATAAGCATGGAACCTAATCCTTGTCAAATTGGGTCAATTTTTGTTTATCTTGTACAGTCCTGTCAGAGTTGGGTAAAACATGGCCAGTATATTAAAATGAATAATGTGGATGCAGATCTTGGTCTGGTTTGAAATTAAGATGGTTTTCTTGAATATATTTGAGTTATTGCCCTTGAGTAAAAATACAAAAGGAATCTCCAACCAAATTGGAAATATTCACTTCTTTCTTTTCTTCATGTGAATTCCATTTGAGGTTGTGAAAGTTCTATAATGGTATATAATATAAAAATAATTCCTTTCAAATAAAAAAAAAATCACAGCAAAGCATATTGTGAAATAATAATAATTGTATCATCCGATTTCTCAAAATAAAATGTTAGACACTCATTATGGATTCTTAGTGTCGGTGAATTCAAAAGAAACACTATGGTTCCAAATGTCTAACTATCTGCTCTAAGCTATAATAATACTGCTCATTACGGCTCATTCTATTCAACTACAGTACATTTTTTCTTTCTTCAAAATGTCAGGAAAATCAGAAATTGCAATGCTATTTTTAAATATCAAATCCATTAAATGCCAGCAGGCTTCCCATGTGATATACTCTCCTTAAAATGTAAAATAAACTGTAAATTAAAAGTGGTATATTGATATTTCCTACATGTAATTGTTTTCATGCATTGTTAATGGTCATCTGAATCTTTCAACTGTCTGTATCCCTTTCAAAATGAATATCTGATACTATCCAGATCACTTATCAGAAAGAAACTGATACCCTGTTTGTCTTCAATAAAAAAACTTGAAAGAATGAAGAAATGGTAGACAGACCAATGACTTTACTCTGCAAAATACTCTCTACAAATTTCAAAATTTTCATTGTACTATATATCAATTAATATAATTATACAATTAACATGTGATATAGATACGCAAAAATAAATCAGATGACTAGATAACTGTCTTTCTGTTTAAAATGTAAAAACTAAAACAAAAAGACACACATTGAAAAAAGGTTTATTTCAGAAATCACAGGTGATAAAATAGGAACACGAAAATAACATAAGTTAGAAGGGTGATTCATTCCACATAAAAATGTCTGGTGATTCCAAGGATGGGTAAAATTATGCCCAAAATGCACACAACATGTTCTATAGCACAGTTGGTTAGAGCATTGGTTCTAAACATGACGTCATTTGCATGGTTACATGGCGTGTGATAGTCCAATGACCCTGAATAAGTCATTTTCACTCATAATTCCAGTCGACCCAACTGTAAATGGGTAAGGATAATCTGGGAAAAATCAATGCCAAGATGTTTGGCCAAGGACGAGCTGGTAGAAAGGATCCTTAACTGTGAGCCTAAGTTGTTATCCTTGTAAAATATAGTTGTTTCTTTCTTCCTTAAAATACAGTTAATGAAGTCAACAGTTTCCACCACTAAGTCAATGAACAACTGAACTCATATGACAGCCAGAGTTATTTCCCTTTAGTTGTAGGAAGGTAGAAAGCTAAACCAGGTTAAAAAATCACAATTGAAATGAAGTAGGGAAATGATTTATCCCTAGTTTTCTGCACCCAATTGGTCTAATCAAGAAAGAGATACTTTTAGAAGGTGCATACTACTACTACTACTACTGGTAACAATTGGACAAAATTTAAAGAATAACAACATTTTTCATCAAGTATTTTCAAAAGTGGTCAGAGAATTAAGGTTGGCATAAAGAGGTTATAAAGGTTGTAATATGCATCATATTTCTATTTCTTCCATTCATAACAGATACTTTCTTTGATTGGTGGTGTATAAAAAGTAATAACTTTATAAATAACATCCAAATATTATGGCTACTTGAACATAGGAAATATGAGTGCATTGTCTCATTAATGTGCACTTTAAACAAGTATCATTAACCTCTGGAACATTTTTCTCAATATTTCAGCCATTTTTTTAAATTTAGCAATTAACTTAAATAATTTTACTAAATTTCAACTTTATCAAGGCAGGGTATGTTCACTCTTCTGCAATACCTGACGAGTTTTACATTCTACTCTTCTGCACCTTATTGGGCTAATAAAGACAGGGCATCTCTTACAGAGAGTTCGCATAGTCAATTTGGTATACATAATAAAAACCAAGATGTACTGAAAGATGATGATGACATAGTTAAAGAAGATAAGATTTCAGTGGTAATAGAAATTAACACTAGACTACCTACTATTGAAATCTAACCAGTGATATTATCTGTATTTCAGTAAGATAAATATTTGAGATGATAATATGGTATAGACTAAGATAAAATAAGAAGATAGTAAAGTAATAGGTAGCCATCTGGTAACTCTGGTATAACAGGTCTACCACAAGTCAAAATTAGAATCTATGTCTTGATGCTATAACAACTGAGCATATCTTTAATAACTCTATGATGACATTAAAGGGATTATAAAAAGGCTTTCTAGATTTATTTATGTGTATCAGGGACACTGTTAGCATCAATTGTCATCATTCTTATTTGCCATCAGACGTCTGTGGTTCCTGCAATTCTACTAAAACTAACGTGTTTGATGATTGCAAAATATGGTTTTGTGATAAGTGACGTCATCAAACACTTAGTTTGAATTGCAGGAACAACAGACGTCTGATTGAAAAACTGAAATGGTGCAAATTGATGCTATCAGTGTCCACAATATACATAAAATATTTAGAAAACCTCTTAACAATACTTTTAAGAACTTTGTTGAACTCATTGTAAAAACTGCTTAAACTACAGAATGATCTTCAGATTGGATTTTTATATTCATTCAAAGTTTGGAGGAAATCAGTTTACTGAGTTACTGACCTTAAAACATTTTAATGGGCAATAACTCTGTTTCAAATGATCACAAAATGCTGAAATTTAAGCTTATAACTTCATTTGAAGATTAAAT